TTAGCAGACAAGAAACTTCCCTCGATCATTGATAGGGCTAATCAAAATAGAGAAGATACTTACCTGGTCTTTTGATCTCGGAATCATTCGTATCAATATCAACATTAGGAGCTCGTCGTTTGGAGGAAGGAGAGGTCTGTGACCACGAACTAAGAGTAACGAAAAAATAATTGAAAGTTGGCTAAGTAAAAATAAGTTGGAAAAACGAATTTTCAAATTATTAACATAAGTGTAAAGAGAACATAGTGGCGATATTATGCATATCATTGATCTGCTTGTCCAAGTCCAATTATCAATCAAAAAAGAGATCAATAAAACAATTTTGAAAGAGTGAATTATGATTGTAGGTTAAATAGTAGTCGAATAAATTACAAGCTATGGATTAGGGCTAATGGTCAATGCAGGTTACTTTGGGGTCTCCAAGCAGGCCAAATAAATCGACAACAATAAAGGCTTAATGCTTTGAATATTGCTGTATCTTATATCCATGAAATCAATATTAGGATATTGGAAATTATGGCAATTGAGCCTTGTTCGATCTCAAATCCAAGTGCCACGGATATGAAAGAGATGTTGCAGCGAATCAAAAACAATGTGCATTTTTGCGATGCCAGAATCTAGGAACTATTGCCACAAGCATTGTTATTTTTATAAAACTAACTTAGCAATTCATACCTTCAAATAAAAATATTCTGCATCGCTAAGAGTGACCTACGTTATAAAAGTAGTCTTTTCCATCATGCCACCATGTGGTGACCTGGATCGACGAGGTGCTCGATTGCCCCGAGAGCCTGTATCCTCACTGGACTCAGGCACAGCTCGTCTGTTACGACTTTGATGAGCATTAGGAGAAGCAGAAGAGCAAGAAGAGTGAGAAGAGGCGGAGGCGAATGCAGACGTTGAGCGAGCACTTCTGCGACGAGGCTCTAGAGCAATGGTAAAAAAATGAAGTGGACATTTACAAATTTGGTTATGCCGATTAGTGGAAAATTCTTCAAGAGCTTATACTGCATGAAGGATAGTTGTGAAAGAAAAAAGGTATAATAGTTTAATCGAGAGGGGTGAAATGCCTGCACCAGCAAAACTAAGTATAGCTCCGAAGCTAGAAAAGATTGAAGACTTATTAAGGCGATAATGCAAGGTAAGATTAAAGCGAGTCGTACGCGCCAAACTGATGGGCAAGGTAAAGATCAATCGCACAAAACGCACTAGACGTTTGTTTTCAAAGCAATGGACAGAGGTAATATTTAAATCGAGATATAAAAGTATAAGGC